TTCGCTCTTATAACCAGTCTGTGAAGCAGATATTTTTATCCTCATTTTAGAGGTAAAGAAATAGGCTCAGAGAAGTGATTTTTAAAAAAAATGTAAATAATAGCCCTGGCTGGTGTGGCTCAGTGGATTGAGTGCCAGCCTGTAAACCAAAAGGTCTCAGGTTCGATTTTCAGTCAGGGCGCATGCCTGGGTTGTGGGCTGGTTCCCCAGTTGGGGGCATGTGAGAGGCAACCAATCCATTGCCTCTCACACATTATATCTCTTCACACATTGATGTTCCTCTCCCTCTCTCTCTCTCTCCCTCTCTTCCCCTCTCTCTAAGGAGTAAATAAATAAAATATTAAAAAAATAAAAAATGTAAATAACAGCCTACATTTATATATTGTTTTGAGGCATGTAGTCACTGTTCTGAGAACTTGAATAACAACAATCAAGTCATAACAACTCTGTGAATTAAGCATATTATTATCATAATTTTATACGTGAGGAAACTGAGGTATGGAGAGATTAAAGAATTAGCCTGAAATTACATGGCTGGTGAATTTGAAGGTAGGTAGCCCAGCTCTTAATCATTGTGTTACAAATCAGACAACTCTCCTATTTAATACCCTTCCTCGTGTTTCTCACTGTACTAAAAATAAAGTCCAGCTTCCTTTCTCTGGCGTGCAAGGCCATACTTGACATGGTTCTGGCACAATCTGACCACATCTATCACTCTCCCCCTCGCTCACTCTGCTTCAGATGCACCAGCTTCTCATGGGTCCTCAGATATGCCGAGCACATTTCTGCCTCAGGGCCTTTGCATTTATTATTTCCTCCCCCTGGAATGATTATCCCCCACACCCTTATATGGCTCATTCCTTCACTACATCCGCGTCTCTGCTCAAATATCATCCCCTCAAAGAGACATTCTTATCTATAGACATGCCTTTGACCCTGCTTAATTTTTCTTCACAGCACTTAGAATTCTCAGAAACTATATATTCGTTTGCTTGTTTGTCTCTTTCACCAGAATGTGGGCACAGACTTGGTTGTCTTGTCTACTGCTAGATATCCAGTGCTCAGGCCTGGGACCTACCGTATGTTAATCACCTAATATATAGTTACTTGATAATTAAGTACATAAATGAATGAATATCCAAGGTCACCCAATTGGTTAGTGGCAGAGCCAGGACACAAACTGAGTTGTCTGATCCTGGAGCCTATGCTCTCAGTCACGGTGCTGTGCTGGGCTGACTCCAAGAGATCTCAGGAGGGTAATGAATGTAAAAGCCGCTTTGAAAATTGCTAAGTGCTTGAAAACCAAAGATTATTATTACTGTTAAGTTTACTGTTTGCTCATCTGTGAAATGGGGATAATAATACTCTGATCTGTCAGCTTTAAGAGGATGTTTTGTGGAGTGTCAATGAGATAATGGATGGGTAAGCATGTGCAAGCATTAAGGCTCTGCCTGGTAGAAGAGACTGTAAAGGTTATTTCCATGCCAGTGTCTTCCCAAGACTCTCATCCTCTACCTCGAGTTTGACATTAATATTGCTGACAGGAGAGGGGGAGGTAAGGGGACATGGGGGACTGAGGGACTCTGCGTCCTAGTAATTAAACATGTTGGGACTGAAGCGCTGCCAGCGGCAGCATCTGGTTGCAATTACCAGAGGGGACCGAAGTGATTAGTCACCTTTATAGTGAGAGCCAGGCCGGTCTCCTGGGCTCCTCCCTGGAGAGGGCCTTCTAAGTAAGCTCTGAGTCCCCTTTCCCTGCTCCCACCCCACTCTGGGGTCCCCTGGTCCTTAAACAATAGCCCCTGATCTGAGTCCTCCATGTCCCGAAATCCCAGCTTGTTGGAGGAGACCTTGACGGAAAGCCAAGAACACCATAATTGCCCACCACCCTTTTACTCCTTCTTGTGTTTCTAGAGGCCAGGTTGGGATTCTTTGGTAAAAAATGTGTCAAAGCGGGAATTAAGCTCAAAAAGTAATTTAACCTTTCTGAACTTCAGTTTCTTTACCTGTAAAATGTGGGACTAACAATACCTTCATTTTAGGGTTGTTGTGAAGATAAATAAGATAAAAATGCAATGGGATATCAAGGCCCAAGTCTAGTTTACTAGAGTATGTGCTCAGTAAATAGTAGCTGTTATTAATGTTTTCCAGGTGCTAGGCTAATCACTTTTTATGATTCATTTCATTGAATCCCCATAAAAACCCCGTGAGTAGGTACTGTCATGATCCCTGTTCAGAGTTTCAGAGAGGTTTAGAGGTTTCCGAAGATCACACAATGCACTAAACCGTATAGCAGACCTGGAATTCAAAACCAGGACTGCTTGTCTCCAAAGCGCATGCTCTTTATCAAACCCTGTGCAGGGGTATATTGGTTGGTTCGTTTGTTCATCCCTCCATTTATTCACTCAGTCGATCTTGCAAAGTGCCTAGTACATTGTAAGACAGAATCCCTCCCTTTAAGAAACTCAGAGTCTAGCACAGAAGGCATGATATGTCCACAAATAACTACATCTTAAGGCAGAAAATGATGGCTTTCATATATAAGGCCAGTTAGAGATTTATTCATCCATACAACACATACTGAGAGTTTGCTATGTGCTGGGCCCTTTGCCCAGCACTGGGAATAATTGAAAGACAAATATAGTACAGTCTAGTCATAATCTAATGAGGGAGACAGATATGTAAATAAATTATTACAGTTATAAGGAATTAAGTTATGATTTAAAAAAAACTATGAAAAAAGCACACAGAGTGGAAGAAATGAACTTTGTTTGAGGCAAGTGGCAGGAGCAGAACCAGACAATCTTTGAGCTACCAAAGTGGAAAAGGGCACAGAAAATGTGTGGTGGCAATTCAGGAGTTCTGTATTTTCCAGTGAATGAGGGAAGGCTTCCTGGAGGAGAGGGCACATGAGTTGGCAATTTTCATTGGGTAGGTTTTAGAGAGAGGAAGAGTTGGAACAGAAATACCCTAAAGGCATGGAAGCTAGTGATTAGGGAATTATAGTAGGACAGGCGGTGAGGAGGGCAGAGACAGCGAGGCAGGGGGGAGCGAGAGGAGGGAGGACTGCGGGATGACTGGGGACAAGTCAAAAGGGAAGCCATTTGTGAATCTGGGCAGTTGGAGGGATAGTGGTAAATTCAGGTCTTCCTCAAAGTTTCCGCAAAGAGCACCTGGTGGTGCATTGGTCCTGTGAGAAGGGAGGTGGGGCTCTACTGGGTTTCTGACCGAGGAGCACAAAAGGAAGCTTGGAATGGCCAAGTTATGCTTCTGTGCTCTGAGGACGACAAGGATCTGGGAGTGTCTCCATGAAAGGACTGGTCAGGCACCTGGATACCCCCAGCTGTGAATTTCATCTTCTTTCATTCATCAAACACTTACTGAGCTTCTACTGTGTGTCAGCTGCGCTGGAAAACCAATCTGGTGACCTTAGAGTACAAACAGATCTTTATTAGCCAGGCTGAAAGAATCTCAGATTAAGAAGGAAGCCTGCCTGACTACCGCTTCTACCCTGCTGCTATACCACTTACAGTGTGGCAAACGTAACAAAGTGTACAAGAAGAGGTAAATGGCTCTGTCTGGGAGTCAGGGAAGGCTTCCCAGAGGAGGTGATGGTCAGGATGAAGCTCTCAGGGTAAGGAGGACTTCCTCAGTTATGAGAGTGAAAAGTGGGTATTCCAGGTGAAGGTAACAGCTTTCCCCCATGAGTCCAGCAGGAATTCAGCCTTCTTCCAGAGCTATCAGAAAAGCATGATGTAGGGAGTCATTTTTCCAGCCTCCTGCAGGGGCCGCTGCTGCCCCAGCCTGGGTCTGCCACCTCTGAACTCAGCCAGTCCTTTTCCAACAAAACTTGGAGTCTGCATTTCCTGGGGCAGTAGTGAGGTACACCCTAGACCTACCTCCATCCGAGGAGTGGGCTCTGGGGTGGCAATGCCCTCCAATGTCTGAAGAAACCATCTGAGTTTAGTCAATGGTACGTGGGGGAGGGGTGTAGTGGGTACTGATATTTTTCTGTCTCTGGGTCACCACAAGTTTATTAAAATAAAAGAAACTGTGGGTAAATGCTGCCATCTGTGCTGCCCCCCCAACAACAAATCAGGCCCCAGACTAGACGCAGGGGTTGAAACTGCTTTAAAAACACCCCAAGGAGTTAGCTGAAAACCCACACTCCCCATGCTTCTGGGGCTTAAGATCTTGAGCTCATTCCTCAGCATCTCTCCTCTGGAGGGTGGGGTGGGCTGCCCCGTGAGGTGGAGGTGAAGACCCCTGAGTCTGCTCCATGGACCGAGGGGCCCCCTAAGCCTCGAGTCACGCTTCAGGGCTCTGTGCCAAGAGCCCCCGTGAGCCATGGCCTCGAAAGGGCAGCGGTGATTTTTTTCACATAAATATATCGCACTTAAATGAGTTTAGACAGCATGACATCAGAGAGTAATTAAATTGGTTTGGGTTGAAATTCCGTTTCCAATTCCTGAGTTCAGGTTTGTAAAAGATTTTTCTGAGCACCTGCAGGCGTGTGTGTGTGTGTGTGTGTGCATGTGTGTGTGTGTGTGTGTGTGTGTGTGTGTGTGAAGTATTTTCACTGGAAAGGATTCAAAACTTAAAAAAAAAAAAAAAACTGGAGCACACAGGCAGCATTACGCCATTCTTCCTTCTTGGAAAAATCCCTCAGCCTTATACAAGCCTCCTTCAAGCCCTCAGTCAGTTGTGCAGGAGAAAGGGGGCGGTCGGCTTTCTCCTTTCAAGAACGAGTTATTTTCAGCTGCTGACTGGAGACGGTGCACGTCTGGATACGAGAGCATTTCCACTATGGGACTGGATACAAACACACACCCGGCAGACTTAAAGAGTCTCAGACTGAGGAGAAAGCCTTTCCTTCTGCTGCTACTGCTGCTGCCGCTGCTTTTGAGGGTCCACTCCTTTCATGGTTTTTCCTGCCAAACCAGAGGCACCTTCGCTGCTGCCGCCGTTCTCTTTGGTGTCATTCAGCGGCTGGCCAGAGGATGAGACTCTCCAAACCCCTCACTTTCTTGCTTTGGCACCTGGCTTGGCTGGACCTGGAATTTATCTGCACTGTGTTGGGGGCCCCTGACTTGGGCCAGAGACCCCAGGGGACCAGGCCAGGATTGGCCAAAGCAGAAGCCAAAGAGAGGCCCCCTCTGGCCCGGAACGTATTCAGGCCAGGGGGTCACAGCTATGGTGGGGGAGCCACCAATGCCAGGGCAAAAGGGGGCACTGGGCAGGCAGGAGGCCTGACACAGCCCAAGAAGGATGAACCCAAAAAGCTGCCCCCCAGATCGGGTGGCCCTGAACCCAAGCCAGGACACCCTCCCCAGACAAGGCAGGCTGCAACGCGGACTGTGACCCCCAAAGGACAGCTTCCTGGGGGTAAGGCACCCCCAAAGGCAGGTGCTGTCCCCAGCCCCTTCCTGCTGAAGAAGGCCAGGGAGCCTGGGGCCCCTCGAGAGCCCAAGGAGACGTTCCGCCCGCCCCCCATCACTCCCCACGAGTACATGCTCTCGCTGTACAGGACGCTGTCCGATGCTGACAGAAAGGGAGGAAACAGCAGCGTGAAGTTGGAGGCTGGCCTGGCCAACACCATCACCAGCTTTATTGACAAAGGGCAAGGTGAGGGGGCGGGGTGGCCGGGGCACGGCTCAGAGGGAGGGGCATCTGCATGCATGGAGGGGCCTTTCAGAGCCCTGACACTGCACTGGTGGGAGACTGTGTGTGCATCTGCCCTGGGGAGGTCTGGGACTATCTCACGCATACCAGGTCCCAGGGTGCTGGCATGTCAGATTGGAGGCACCTGGGATCACCAAGTCCAATTCTTGCAAGGTGCAGAGAGGATGACTAAAGCCCAGAGAGGAGACAAGACCTGCCAGGTGGTGGCAGAGTTGGGGACCAGACTCTAAGACTCTTTGATCACCAGGCCATGCTCTATTCCTATGTGGATTGGCCAGACTTTCTAGGTTTCAGGGGTTCGTAGGTTTTCTCAGATGGCAGAGAGAGAACTTAATCTCTAGCCACCCATCACCCTGCCACTTTACCCTCAGGTTAGAGAGCAGAGGAGGCGGGGTAGGAGAAGACAGTAAGCGAGGCATCTTGGAGTCATGGAATGACATTGAGATATATGGGGTTTGGGAGAGGACAACAGACCTAGGGTTTAACCGTGTGACCTTGGGAAAGCTCCTTCTCCCTTCAGGGTCAGTTTCCCCGTCTGTACGGCTATATGGGGGTTGGACTGGGTGATTTTTGAGAGCCCTTCAAATATGAAACTTTATGTCCTGTCCTAAACACAGATCATTTCTATCATTAACCCAGGAGAATAACTGCTTCCCTCCTTTCTCCTTCCGCCCACCTGGCCTTACTGTCTTGGCTTTCCCCCTCAGCTTGCTGTGTGATCTGAGCAAGTCTCTTCCTTTCCCAGGGCCTCAGTTTCTCCCCAAGTGTGATTGTTAGGGTGGATCGCAGCTCATATGCTCTGGTTCTGTGAGTCTTAGGACTCTCGCTGGCAGGGTGGGGGAGGGGTCAGAGTGGGAGAGGCTCCTCATTAGAGCTGGCCTGTAGGGGAATGACAGAAGGCGGGGGAGGCACAGAGGCAGCAGGTCTGGCTGAGATGGGGGAGGTGGCCTGGCTGCCTGCCCAGTCAGGGAAAGCTGTGACCCCTTGGGGGCTCATAAAGTAAGTCCTTGTGCCCCCCAGCACTAAGGGAGCTCGGAGAGGGGGAGATGGGGAGTTTAAAGGCCTAATTAGTCACCTTCTAGAGCAATATATGAATGCTTCCCAATGGCAAATTGGTATTTAGGAAAGAGGGCATGTGGATTGGATATACTACTGAGCTTCTTATACATACACACAGCCCATATTTATATATACATGCTGAATCACACACGTACATATGTGCACATATCTTCTTCTATGCGTATATGTGGAATCTTCTTACATATCCTCACATACATACCACATACACTTCACATTTTGACACAAGCCCAATCATACCTCACATGACATCACTTATTTATGCCACTTTCTTACTCACATATGAACCCAATCATACACACAAACTTTCACACACACATGCACACACTCATACATCCAGGAGGTGAGACACATACACAACAAAATCATTAGATTGGGAAGCAGGGAGATCGGGTAGCAGAGCAGTTTTGTCATTAACTCATTGCGTGACTATGGTCAAGTCACTCCCCTTCTCTGTGCTTCATCTGTAAAAAGAAAACACTAAGACTTTCTTTAAGGTATAGTGGAAGCAGCTTCAGATTGGGTATAAAAAGTTCTAGGCTAGTGTTTCAACTCTCCTGTCTCCTAGCTGGGTAACTTCAAGCAAGAGACACCTGATTTCTCTGAGCCTCAGGTTCCCCCCCTGGGAAAACAGGAGTAATTATAATGACAAACCCCATCTGTTTCACCAGTGAGATATCATATTCAATAACAGAGAGGAAAGAGGTAGGTAGAAGGCAGTTCTAAAGCTGATGAATCTCTGATATGAATAGTGATGGACACAAAAACCCAGCATCACTCAGGTTACCCCAGCCACATCTACAGATAAACAAACCTACTTGGTAGGCTGTGTAGGACGCTCCTTTATTCTGAACAAGGCTTTCAGTGGTTTGGATCTTAGCCTCTCTCAGAGTGGGGAAGAGGTTAAAGAGAGCTCTCTGGAGGGGAAGAGAGCTGTGGCCCTCCCCCGAGGCCTCGAGGTGACTGGCTTTCTTGATGAGGTTGCAGGGAATGACTTCTGGGTGTTCTCTCTAGATGACCGAGGTCCTGTGGTCAGGAAGCAGAGGTACGTCTTTGACATTAGTGCCCTGGAGAAGGATGGGCTGCTAGGGGCCGAGCTGCGGATCTTGCGGAAGAAGCCCTCGGACACAGCCAAGCCAGCGGCCCCCAGTAGCGGGCGGGCTGCCCAGCTGAAGCTGTCCAGCTGCCCCAGCGGCCGGCAGCCGGCAGCCTTGCTGGATGTGCGCTCCGTGCCAGGCCTGGACGGATCTGGCTGGGAGGTGTTTGACATCTGGAAGCTCTTCCGAAACTTTAAGAACTCGGCCCAGCTGTGCCTGGAGCTGGAGGCCTGGGAACGGGGCCGGGCTGTGGACCTCCGCGGCCTGGGCTTTGACCGGGCTGCCCGTCAGGTTCATGAGAAGGCCCTGTTCCTGGTGTTTGGCCGTACCAAGAAGCGGGACCTGTTCTTTAATGAGATTAAGGCCCGCTCTGGCCAGGATGATAAGACTGTGTATGAGTACCTGTTCAGCCAGCGGCGAAAACGGAGGGCTCCACTGGCCACACGCCAGGGCAAGCGGCCCAGCAAGAACCCCAAGGCCCGCTGCAGTCGAAAGGCACTGCATGTCAATTTCAAGGACATGGGCTGGGATGACTGGATCATTGCCCCTCTTGAGTACGAGGCCTTCCACTGTGAGGGACTATGTGAGTTCCCCTTGCGCTCTCACCTGGAGCCGACGAACCACGCAGTCATCCAGACCCTGATGAACTCCATGGACCCGGAGTCCACGCCACCTACCTGCTGTGTGCCCACGCGGCTGAGTCCCATCAGCATCCTCTTCATTGACTCCGCCAACAACGTGGTCTATAAGCAGTATGAGGACATGGTTGTGGAGTCTTGTGGCTGCAGGTAGCAGCACTGGCCCTGTCTTCCTGGTGGCGCATCCCCACGATGCTGTTCACAAGGGTCCCTCCTGCCACTTGTGGGATCACAGAGCGGTCGGGAAGCTGCAGTCCGGAGCATCTACACATCCTGCCTGAAGAAGGATTTCAACAGCGTTGCTCACTCTCTGAGTGGGACAAGGGCTAAAGATTCCTTTCTATCCACAAGTCCCTCTGTCTGAGGATTTCTGCCCTTCTGCTGCTCTGACTGGCAGGGACAGTCCCAGGGAGACAGACTCTGAATGGGACTGAGACCCAGCAAACCTGGTTTTCCAATGAGACTCAGCCCTTGATCTCTCCTTTCCTGGGCCTCCTTGGACTCTGGACTCTCCAGGGAGGGCTCCTCTTGGGAGAGCCACAGGCGCCGCATCCTCCTTGAATCACCATGGTGCCCGTGACTTTCTGCCCCTGGGATAGAGGAGATGCTGACTGGGCAGGGGTGGGAAAGAGGGGGAGAGGGCTTGGGTAGGGGTGAGGAATGCGGGGCTGTTAGACTGTTAGATTAAAATGTACATTGATGAGATAAAAAGCAAAACTGTGCCTAAAACTGTGGCAGATTTCTTGTTTACTCCAGGGGACACAGTGACCCCTCAAAGAATGACTGGCCCAAGGAGGGGAGGGGGGTTGCCTCATCTATAAACCCAGCGTCCAGGGCTCCAGTCCCCGCTCCCAGTCCTGGAAACCATAGCAGGGCCAGTGCTACCTCTAACCCCATTCCCGTTCCTTCCAAAAGCCCATTGGTCTGGAGCTCCATCTGCTCCGTTGGGGCCTGCCAACAGAGTTAAGTTTTCTTTTTGGCACTTCTTAGTCAAGCTGGTTGTCTCTGAAATGGATCCCTAAATGAGAGGGAAATTGGGGATTTCATTTCCTCTAAAATCATCCCACTTTATTCACTAGTATCTGCTGTCCCCTCACCCCAGTTCACCGCCCCCCATACTCATAAAATGAACTGATTGCCATTTAAAGGGTCCTTTGCCTCTCACTGGGAAACCTGGCCTGCCAGAGATCTCTTCCCCTCTTAGCGAGGCATCTCCTTTTTGCCATTGACCACTGTTCCTCACATGATCTTGTTTATGGCCTTGCTACCCTCCTGCTCATCACCTTCACTACTTACTGTTCCCCTGTCTCCTCCTACCTTCTCACCCCCATCTTCAGAAACAGAGCTGGCGCCCCTCCTCTTTACATTATACATGATATAAATACAAATTTATATATTAGATAAATAACCCTCCCACTAACCTCAGACAGTCCAATGCCAGACAGATCCTGACAATGTTTCCTACTTGGGGCTTTGCCCAGACTAAATGTTCACTTCCTTTTCCCCATTGGAATCTTTAGGGGGAGGCATGAGATATGAACTCTTGGGAGGGAGCAGAGCCCTCTGGTAGGGAAACTTGGGCACCTGAATCCTGATTCTAAGGGCTCAGGACCAGGTCCTGCCTGGCTGAAGAGAGGGAGGACTAGGAGAAGGGAGTCTAGGCCTCTGCTTCCCACCCAGGGGGCCTCAACATTTTCCCCACCTCTCTCCAGCTGAGCCTTTGATTCCCAGGGCTCTTAGCCAAAGCTGTTTCAACAGTGGGGATTCCTGCCCAGCTATGGGCAGATCTTGTGTCCCTTCCCTCTAGACCTGAAATGTGGGTTGTCAGGACCTAAAGCAAGAGCCCCGTGCAGGGGGCAGCCTGAGCCCAGAGCCTCTCCCTCCCTGGCTGGGCTTCGTTGTATTTGGCTGGTGGCAGGCCTGCAAAATCTGGAAGTAAACAAAGAAGCTGCCACGGCAGACAGAGTTCTGGTGTGTGTGAGAGGAGAGTGAGCCTGGAAGGGAGGTGCCAGGGAGGCCAAGCAGCGGGCTGCGGATACAGGGTGAGCAGTGTAGAAACTGGGTGGCTGGAACCCTAAGGGCAGAGAGACAGGGGACAAAGCAGTCACAGGTGGGGCTGACTCCCATGTACCCTTGTTTTCTGGTCTGTGTCTCCCTAGTTTCTTGGAAAGTCTGACAAAACTGCAGCTGCTCTCTGCCTTTGCCCCATCAGAGTTTCACATCACCTTAGCCTCAATGAGGCCTGGGCATTGAATCGACTGTTGTGGCTCTGGCTTGATACCCAAGGAGCTTCCTTTCCCTCTTTAACCTGCCCTAGGCCTCTCTTTCTTGAAAGAGCCACTCAGACTGTGTACCATCCCCACTCCCCACAAGACTACAGAGATCCAGTCAGACAACTGTGGGGTGAGTAGGAACAGCCCTTCCATCCTAAACATTTGATCTATTCCACTTCCTCCTTGGAGAACTATCTCCACCAGGCACCCTCCTCCAGGCTCAATCATAACAAGCTGCATACTTTTACTGTACATTCTTGTACAAAAAGGGTACAAGCCTTCTATCATTCCTTAAAGTTCAGAAACACTCCCCCAGCCAATGTCTTGCAGTGCTGAAGGGCTCAAAAGGCAGCTCAGTTTCAAATTTCAGATCCGTCTCTTAGGGTACTTGGGCAAGTAACTTAATTCCCTGAATCTTGGTTTCCTCATTTGTAAAACAAAGGCGAGGTGGAAAGATAATACCTATTTCATAGGGCTACCTGTGAGGATATGAGAGACAATCAATACAGTACCTGGCACAGAGGTGTCACTCAATAATATTAGCTGTTATCATTAATGTGCCTCAAACAGTCCCATGAAGCAGGCAGGGAAGGAACATTACCCCTCCATTTTTACAGAAAGGAAACGGACAGCCAGAGAAGTTACTACAGGTCTCCTATAGGTCTCAGTGTTCCTTGTACCAGTTTTTGCTTCTTTTCTGGGCCCCACATTCCACTGACCCCAGTCCTGGCAAGCAGTGGAATTACTCACCTGAGGCTTGGCTCCCTGGTCTTAAAAGTATCCCCTCAGGGACACGCTGTGTTGTTGGTTCCTGGGGAGAAATGGCTAAGCAGATAGCTTAGGGCAGAGAAAGTGGGAGGCCCTTGGCAGAGGCAAGAAGTGGACAGTGCTGAGATGCCCATCTCTTGGTCTCTTGCATAATCCTCTGTTCCAAAGCCATGAACAGGAGAATCAGCTTTTCTAGGGCTTGGAACACACAACCTTGGGAAGCCTCTCAGACTGCACTCTGGCTCCACAACCAGTTCTCATATCCAATCTGTATATAGATGTGAGAAAGCAGAGTAGAGAAGGCTTAGTCACATATGCTTGAAAGTCAGACAGATGTAGGTCCAGTCTTGACTCTATTACTTTCCAGCTGAGTGTCTTTGGGCAATTTACTTAACCTCTATGAGGCTCAGTTTCCCTATCTGTCGAAGAAGGATAATAATATTAAATTTACTGGGCTTGAGATTCAGGAGAGAGGATATTCATTCATTCCATCAATCTTTGATTTATTGATTGATTGATTCATTAATCAATAAATATTTTTGAAGGTCTACTCTGGTCCAGACTCCATTTGAATGTTGGAGTAATAACAACCACATTTGTTAATGCTTGTTGAGGGCTTATCAGGTGCCAGGTACTATGCTTAGCACTTTACATGAATTCCCTTATCTTGCAATGATCATGTCCTCAAGTTTCATGCATGACTGAAAGAGAAAAATAAAGACCCCAAAGGATGCTAAGATGATAAGTCTATGATAGGCTCAATCAAAGGAGATTAAATAAAACAGGGAAAAAAGTCAAATTATACATGTGGATGCATGAAACCAACAGTACATTTACAGGATGTGAAAAAAATATGATTTCACAACTTCACATGGAAAGAGTGTTGTTGGTGGCTGTGAAATCAATTGACTATAATGTGGGTGCCTAAATGTGAATACAAGTGTGGGCTTCATTCATAGACATGCAGTGTATAAGCCCAAGGAAACTGTGTTTCTGCTCTATTTAGCAGGACTTGGGGACTGTTGGGATGGAGAGAGTAAGGGACAAGCATAGTCAAGGGTGAATCCTGTGGCTTTTTGCTTGGACAACTGGGTAAACAGTGTGCTATTCAACAATAACAAAAAAAGAGAACACAGAAAGAGAAATAGATTTTGAGAGGAAGATGATGAAGTCAGCTTTGGACATCAAATTTGAAAAACTCTTTAGAGATCAGCTGTAAATAGGAAAAGCAGCAATTCTTCCATGAAATGATACAAAGAAGAAAGGATACATGCACACTATGAAGGCCAAGTACTTGGTTTAGTGGTAGGAAGTTGAGTTTCCTTCTGATGGCTTATAATTTCTATTTTCTCTGTGAAGTAGAAGGTGAGACCATCCATTCAGAGACTGTAGGGAGGGGTCAGAGTCAAGGTATGAGGACTGCGGAAAAGGTTCCTGTTATGGGTTGAATTGTGTCCCTTATGTAGGTATGTTGAAGTCCTAACCCCCACACCTGTGAATATAACCTTATTTGGAAAAAGGGGTTTTGCAGATGTAATCAAGTTAAGATAAGGCATTAGGGTGGGCCTAATCCAATACGACTGGAGTCCTTATAAGAGGACAAGAAACACAGAGAGAGGCACAGAGGAAAAAGGCCGTGTGATGACAGAGACAGAAACTGGAGTGATACAGTTATAAAGCAAGAAACATAGGGATTGCTGGCAATTGCCAGAAGCTAGGAAGAGGCAAGGAAAGATCCTTCTGTAGAGCCTTCAGATAAAGCATGGTCCTGCCAACCCCTTGATTTTGGACTTCTAGCCTCCAGAACTGAGAAACGATACATTTCCGTGGTTTGAAGACACTTGGTTTGTGTATGCGCGTGTTTTGTTATGGTAGCCCTCGGGATCTATTGTAGCTATAAATAGTAGTGTTGGAGAAGGGGTCAGAGTTGAGCATAATAGAGAATGGTAACCATATTTGAGGGGGTACCGATATGCCTCTTGCATGGTTTTCTCCAATAGTTTTCAATAATCTTGATGTAGGCATATATTAAATGGACAATTATAGGTATGGGGTCTTTCCAGGTGAGCAGGATAAAGATATTTGAGCAAAGGAGTTAATATTGGCAAGACAA